TGATTGAAATCATACAGCAGGCAGCCTTTTCAGGTTGGCTTCTTTGACCTAGTTATATGCATTTAAGCTTCTCCATCTCTTTTTGTGGCTTGATAGCTCCTTTCTTTTTAGTGTTGAATAATATTCCATCAACTGGATGTGCCATAATTCATCCACTTCAGCTTCAGTTTTTATAGGATAGATCTCTTTCTTTTTGTATTCCTATTTCATTAGGTTACATAATGCGGAATTAAATTACTCAAGCAAAATGACAAGTAAAAGTGGCATAAACAGGTTTGGAGCAAACAATGATCAATGATGCTAGGTGAACATATGCAACCCAAAGACTGGTTAGTAAGTACTTTGCCTGCTTGTGTTACCAAGGGAATGGGAAGCTTCAGGCAACCCTGAGTCTGTTAGTGGAGGGTGGTTGGGAGAACTTTCGCATTAACATGTTGAGAAACTTGTGTTCCAGGGCACACTGCTGGGGGCATGCTGGCCTGGACCATACACTCCTACAGGTAAGTATTTTGATTGTGCTTCCCTCAAGTGAAACATTTTTATCCACTACCTTTAACACATCTATGTTTATATATTTCTAATATTTCTAACTACCTACAGTACAATCACTGGCTAACATTGCAAAGCATGATGTACTTAGGGTGAGGTCCATCAACAGTAAGAGTGAATCTCAATCCACATTCCCATAGTTCCCTTGACCTTTTAATCCTTTTGTCTGACTTCTTATCAGATATGATTAGGTTATTTATTATTTTTTTGTTAATCCTCACTAGAGGATATTTTTCCCATTGATTTTTAGAGAGTGGAAGGGAGCGAAGAGGAGAGAGAGAGAGAGAGCGAGAGAGAGAGAGAGAGCGAGAGAGAGAGAGAGAGCGAGAGAGAGAGAGAGAGCGAGAGAGAGAGAGAGAGCGAGAGAGAGAAACATCGATGTGAGAAAGACACATCAATTGGTTGCCTCCCACATCTACTCCAACGGGGGCCAGAGATCAAACCTGCAACCCAAGTATGTGCCCTTCACCTAGAATCGAACCTGGGACCCTTCAGTGTACGGGCAGACACCATAGCCACTGAGACACCAGCCAGGGCTAGGTTATGTTTTCTTAAACCTCATAATATGGCTAAGGATAAGCATGCACCTGGATTAGAAGTGTCACCTCTACTATTTTTTCATATTCACTTGTGGATTACCTCCCTATGGTCACTTTAGGATACCTCATTGTGGAGTGTGACATGTGACTCTTACATATAAATTTAATCTACTTAGCAGTTCTAGTATTTTCTTCCCACACCCCTGAGATATATGCACTCTACTTTGGAGACTACTGGCCTTATAACTGCTCAGAGAAGTTTAGGAAATCAATTAAAAATGACTTTAATGCCAAAATGTCTACGATGGAGAATGGCAGAGCCTTTCTGCATCAGTGGAGTCCGTGGCTCTGCTAAGGCGAATCCAGAGGCTGAACGGGGGTGTCTGGAGCCACTCCTGAAAGTTCTCAGGGGAGCATCAGTTCCACTACCGAGAATCAGCACCAGAGCGGGTGTGGCTGCCACTTTTTTAATGCTCACTGACAAACCGAAACTGAAAACTCACTCAGAAGCTGTATAGAAAGATGAAACTCTACGCCTAGGTGAGGAGGGGGGAAGAAGGGAGAGGGAAGATCAAGGGTTCCTTTCTGGCAGGTATAAATGTAGACAATGAGCCCGCCAACAGGGAGAGAGGAGACCCTAAGGCAGTGATGGCAAACCTATGACACGCGTGTCAGAGGTGACACACGAACTCATTTTTTTGGTTGATTTTTTTTGTTAAATGGCATTTAAATATATAAAATAAATATCAAAAATATGTCTTTGTTTTACTATGGTTGCAAATATCAAAAAATTTCTATATGTGACATGGCACCAGAGTTAAGTTAGGGTTTTTCAAAATGCTGACACACCGAGCTCAAAAGGTTCGCCATCACTGCCCTGAGGGAAGGACAGGCACTTGTGATGTCCCTGCTCTCAGTCTCTTCATTCCTGACTCCCTCCAGAGCAGTGGTTCTCAACCTGTGGGTCGCGACCCCTTTGGGGGTTGAACGACCCTTTCACAGGGGTCGCCTAAGACCATCGGAAAACACATATATAATTACATATTGTTTTTGTGATTAATCACTATGCTTTAATTGTGTTCAATTTGTAACAATGAAATTGGGGGTCACCACAACATGAGGAACTGTATTAAAGGGTTGTGGCATTAGGAAGGTTGAGAACCACTGCTCTAGAGAAACCCCTGGCCCCAAGTTACCTTGACCACAAAGGGTGGTCTCACATGAAAAAGCGGTCCCTGTTGGAAGCCCCATCCACTACAGCTGCTTCTTACTGCTAAGATGAGCAGGAGGGTTTTATCACCTTCTTCGAAAGCAGCCCACAGAGATCATGGGAAGCCTAGATTGAGGAAACGTACAGAACAGCACCCCGGCAGGCAGAGAGGTCTCTTGTCACTTGAATGGGGGGAAGGCGGTACAAGAGGGGACCCAGACCTCCATGTTAAGTCATGCTGAACAGACCCAAACCAAAAACCAAACACCCTTACCATTGGCACTTATTTTAAAAGCTTCATGAGTACAGAATTTGAGCAAGACTTTAGAATTGGCCAGTATACTCTAGCCAGAGTAAGGTTTGGGCATATCAGCCTTACCACCATTCAGAATAACTCTACCCCTCCCCTCTGCCTGACTCCCACCAGCCCCGTCCTGACGGCCTTTCCAAGCACAGCTGAGCAGCACCCTGCCCAGGGCACACACCACATAGCCACAGAGACACTTCCTCCCCTAGTCTCATAAGAACTACAGCCTGGAAACTTGCAGATGGTTGCACCTGCCGTGTGCTTGTGGATTTTCTCCCAGGAGCCACCTGGATGCAAGCAAGGCAGTGAACAACAGGCACTTTGTGTCTTGTTAAATGTTCTGTAACTGGAGCGCAACCACACTCAGCTCTCTGGTGACATTCAGAGCGGCCCAGGGGGCGTGGCTTGCCCTGTCACTGCACAGCCTTTTCCCAGAGCCCTGTTTACAGATCCAGCTACTTGAAGCACTGATCAAATGACAAGGGCTTAGGTGAGGACAGAGGGTGTTCATAAACATTACAATCTGTGGGGTTGCCTCAAGAGGAAAACCTAAATTATTTGGCTAGTCAGACAACCCCGCCATAGCTCAAAGGTTGTGGATTTTCTTACAGGATTAGGAGGAGTTAGGAATAGATACCGCAGTTCAGACAGGACCAGCTATGTACGCTGGGGCACCCCCTGAAAAATAAAAATGCAGGGCTTCTTCTTCCAAAAGCAGGAAAAAAGTACCGTTATAGGTACTAAAAGCAGAGTTTTCCTTTCTTCCACAATCTCTCTCTTGACCTGCCACGGTGTTCTTATTTGTTTTTAACATTGCACACCCAGGCATGGGAATGCTTGCCGGGCAAGTTGGACCCTCATGGGCACCCAGAGACCCTGCCCTGTGACTGGTACATGTGATCCACCAGGGACAGAACTGAGGCCTCATGCCTTAGCCAGGAGCAGAGCCAGGCATTACCCCTTCTGCCCCAACCCACTGTAGATGGGCAACCCAAAGGTATTACTCCCTCTGCCCTGGGATATTTTAGGTACCCAGGGAAGTGCAACAGGCTTGTCCCCACTGAGTCACCCATCCAGCACACTGTGGTGCTGTCAGCCTGGGATCCCTTAGACACAACCTATTCTGACCCTCGCCAGGCTCCGGCCCCCACTGGGGTGAGGGCTGCAGCGATTGCTGATGGGGTGGTGAGGGGAAGTTTAGGGGTGCCCTGGTGACAGAGAGCAGAGGAGCAGGCAGCCGAGAAGCCCTCCTGTCAAGCTGGGGAGGCAACAGGAGGCTGGACTGTTTGTGAGCCAGAGCTCCAGGCCCTTGGTGCACCCTCCATCTACTCACGGGATTCTACTTACTGAAGCATAGTAACCTCTATTTTGTAAAAACTGCTGTTTGAAATTTCCACTAGACACAGACAGTCCTTTGTTCTGTGAATTAATTCTGCTATGATTGGCTTCTGTAAAACACGCTTGCTCTAATGATAAGGAAAATCAGCTCAACTGTCTGACCTTGCAAGCCGCACCGCTGCCGTCCTAGCTACCCCCATACCAGGTGTCTTTTAGTTACCTGTACTCAAGGCTACTGAACTGTGTTGTGCTCAAGGCTGCAAGTTTCCCGCAAGATATCTACTAAGCATACATAAGGCCCTTTGAAAACTTGCAAAAGGAACTGGAAGCCCCATAATTAGGAGACAAAGACATTAGAAAAATATAAAAAGGGAAAGCTTCCTCCATGTTTTTGCTCAGACTCTGGAAGCAATATTCCTCTGAGCCCGCTAGCGTAATAAAAGACTCCAGATTAATTTGGCTTATTAAGGCATCTTATGTTCAGCTCGCTGATTTCCAGTATACCATTACAAAACAGAAATTCTACGTTAAAATTAGGAGTTTCAAGATGGTTCCCAAAGAGCATTGAACTCCAAGGGCCCTGAGTCCTGTGTGAGCACACTGGTCATGCGCCTGTGAAGTGACCCTGGCATTAGATTGCTTTCTTACCCAAATGTGCGCATTTCTAACATTTTACATGTATATGCCAAATATGTGTAATATATTCCTGCACACATGGAATAAGAAAAGCTATATGTGTTCCCTCATTTCAATTTTATTTCAGTTTCAAGTTAGCAAGCAGAGTTGAGACTGAAGTTAACAAATATTTTCTATGTATTTATTTATTTTTAAAATTTCACTTATTGAAGTTGACATACAACGAATGTTGAAAGCCCTTTAAGTGGAAGCAAATATATCAGAGTGTTAATAGTACTTCTCTCCGGGTCAAGATGTTAAGTAATTTTTATGTAATTTTCTGGGCATTATAGATTTTTTTAGCTTGACTATGGATACATGGATTGCTTGTATAATTAGGAAAGAACAATAAATGCTATTTGTGAGATAATAAATAATTTACCTGTGGGGAGAGTAGGCTGCTCCTTGGACTTTTCTGACACAACCAGTGCTATCTCTCTGTTAACTTGTCTTAATACCTCCTGGATCATATGAATTTCAAGATTTTCCAGCAGTGTCTGAAGCTAGAGTAAGCAGTTTGAGAGTCAGTCTTCACGTGTAGTTTATACTCTAGGCTTCCAAGTCACACTCCTGCAGAAGGGCCTTGGGCTGGTCCTGGCCTTCAACTGCCCCCTCCCTGGAAGGAGGAAGGGCTTCTGCCGAGGACTCCCAAGGGCTTCTGTGGGGGGAGGTAGCTCTTGAGGGTGGGGATGGGGGAGACACATACACCTCTTTGGAGACCAGCATTTTTTCGTCCTAGCCTACATCCTCACTAATAAAATATAACCCTTTTTGCTAACAAATTCTGTTAAATTGCGGAGTGCTCGATGTCTGAGGTGACCTCATATGTTTTGGGGTCTCTAAATGTGAGCAGGAATTTTGTGATCTATTATTATATGAGAAGCCCTCAGGTCTGAAACTTGATGTAGGCACCAAGGAGGATTTCATGAGAAGATTTAAAACTCCATACATGACCAAGAGAAAACCCTGTTCCACTAACTTTACACATTATGCTCACAGAGCACATGTTGCCTGGGACTGGTGTGTGTGTGTGTGTGTGTGTGTGTGTTGGGGGAGGCGCTGATTTCTCCTTGACGCTCAGTAGTCATGCATCTCGGCAGTGACACCCAAAGAGTTAGAGGCTGTACTCATCTGTTACAATGAGCACAACCACACAGAGCTTGTGTCCCAGGACAAAGGTGAACAAACACTTGGGAAAACCTCCTCTCCATATAGATCATCTAAAACACACACCGAACGGGCTAGCACAAAAGTGGTGGTGTCTTATTCTCAAAAAAACAGTCACATGAACTATTTTCTCCATTTCCATGGTGTGTGTATTGGGGGGGATATCTGTGTGATGGATTTTACGTTTACTATGCTAATGGTTATATTTTCTTTTGTCGTCTTTTTTTGTGGTGGTACACTGTAATTTGGGGAAACTAAAATATGAAAATCTAGATTTATAGTTCTGAAACATTAAGTGGTAGTTATTTGCTTAGTCAAAGCCCCACATGCCTTTAAATACTTAGTTCCCTCTCAGCCTGTTCAATGATTTACAAACCTTCAATTTACACTTCATTTCTTAGAAAAACAACAACACACCACTTGGGTATATCTGTTAATACCATAAAGCAAAATGTCAAAGCCAAATTCAAAAGAGCTCCTGCATACCTGCTGAGTCTTTATTTCAATTTCCGAGGCTCCTTCGGGGGGAAGAATAGACTGACTACTTATTATAAGTTCTTCAAATGCATCTTCTTGCCCCATCCTCCTAGCTATAGCTTTCATGCTGGGGTACAGAATGTCAGTTCTATTAAAGAAGAGAGACCGAAGTTACAAACATACATATTTTTTTTTCTCGTTCAGATTCTCTGACAATTATTTTCAGTTCTGTTTCCTGTCATCATGTATAAACCTCCCAACTCATTACAGACACATCAACATACAAATTTACCACAGTGGCTACTCCCTTAGTCAATGTTAAATCTTGAGGCCTTTTCCCAAGGGTACATTTAATTTCAGTTTTCATTTTCCAAAATATTGACTAGTCTTCTCATTCCCTAGTAACGAGGGAAGCTGACTGTTAACAATTCATAAGACACACAATTCAGACTACCCCACCTTCTTGTGCTCGGCAAGGCCCAGGGTGGTGGGTGGGTGCTTAGTGAGTGCCTGTTTGGTGACAGACATGTGGCAGGAGCAATGTGTCTTTCCTGCCAGCTAAGTCATCCTGGCCAGGACTGATGGGTCCTCTCTGCCCTATGAAATCTCTGGCTGCAACGCAGGAAGCTCTCAGAGGTTCAGCACGTGAGTCTAATGGGGCAGAGAGCGGGGAGGAATTCGCAGTAGCAGCATTTCCCTACCCAGATCCTATGAGCTAAAAAGCTTAGCGTCCACACTCTGGGCACAATTTAGAAGCCCAAGTTCCCAGGGACAGAGCTCTGGGTAAATGATGTGTGGTGTTGCCTAGTACAGTGGTCGGCAAACTGCGGCTCTTTGGCCCCTTGAGTGTGGCTCTTCCACAAAATACCACGTGTGGGCACACATGTACAGTGCAATTGAAACTTCGTGGCCCATGAGCAGAAGGCAGAAGTCGATATTTTGTGGAAGAGCCACACTCAAGGGGCCAAAGAGCCGCATGTGGCTCACGAGCCGCAGTTTGCCAACCACTGGCCTAGTGGGATCCAGGACTGTCCCTGCAGCTAACAGAACCCAGCTTCTCCTGTAAAGCACTGTTTGTAGAGACACATTGCCCAGCTTTCTCTGGGCTCAGTGGGGCTGGCCATCCCAGGACGGATGGACCAGATCTCACGCCCAGAGCAAGGGGCTGGAAGTTGCCCAACCCCAGGTTCCCATGCATTTGCACCCCGCCACACTCACTCGTAGAGCTCCGAGAACTGTTTGTGCAGAGAGAGAGAAGTGATGTCCTGGCCTCGCAGCCTGAGCCGGCCCCACTGCTCCTTCAGCACCTCCAGCTGCTTCCACAGCACCAGAAACGATCTCAGCAAAGCAAGGGACACCACTGCCTCACACGGGCCTCCCAGATGCCAGGGGGCCTTTGGGCTGCTCTGGAACTGACTTCCGAATCTGGACGCTCTGGGCAAATTTGGCTGAAAACATTGCAGAATTCCTCTTTATTGATCATGGACCAAAACAGGATAAACTTTTACCTGCAGCCCTAGAAGTCTTTGCAGAATGACTCTTCTCCCCAGGAGGAGGGGTTTAGGGACCTGCAGCGCTTGTAGGACGTAGGGAAACATCCTTCTGGGACTGACAGTAGAGGAAGGCCTCCATTTCAGCTTTCTGCGTGAGTCTTGAACCACTCATTTTCACACCTTTCGTACTTGGGTACTGACATTTTATCTCCCTTTGGAAAATTAAGCCTTTCATGTTCAGCCTCTGCGTCTGGAAAGTGCTTGTCAACACACTCGAGATTTAACTCCACACATGGGAGAGCAATAATAGAACCTTAAATCGGGGATGTTGCCCATTGTATGGGTAAGGAAATGGAAATTTAAGCCTATCTTACTTCCTGTTCCTTCTACCATGCTTTAAAAGGCAGATAGGACTTTTAAAGTGTCTCTTAATTGGAATTTACTATTCAATAGGAAATTTTACTTTAAAATTATGATTTGAAAAAAAAATAAAATTATGATTTGTTCATTCATCTTTTTGTGTTTTTCTACAGTAAGTGTTTGTTGAGGGGCTGCTATGAGCCCTGGAGGGAGAGAAGGAAGAAAGGGGTTCAGGTCCTGTGACCACTGGAAGGACAGACAGAATGGGACCTGTATCCAGGCCCTCAGTCTGACCATAGTGTCTCAGTCACAGGAAAAGGAACTTTCCTTTGCAAAAGAAAATGGCAAATCTGATCGATGCTATGACAAGAAGGGCCTCAGAGAACAGTCAGGTGTTAGCACCGTAGGCAGAGTTTCCTGGGGAGGAACAGGAAGAACAAGCACCTGGTGTAACTGGATCCCCCAGCAGTGCTATTAACATTTGAAGGAAGGCATGGCTGCCAGAAGAGAGTGGGTTAGAGGGACAGCTGGCAAGCAAGACTGGCGCAGAGTGAGCTCCTGAAGACAGCTGGCAGCCCCTCAACCTGGTAGCCCGCTTCCTCAACAATCAGCTAATCCGTGCATTTCCAGATTTATTTAATCTTCAGAAACCTTTTTGTCCCATGAAATTGCACGCAGTAGCCCCAAACATCCAACAGACCAGGGCCAAACGGGGTGCTAGGAGGTGCAGCCTACAGGCCACAGAGTTGGCTCCTCTGTTCCAAAACCCCCAAGGTGCCTCTGAGGAGCCCAGGGCTTCTGGGACCACAGTTTTAAAGGCCCTGAGCTAGTCCATCACTTTCCCTTTGGAGGTTTAGATTGAAGTCTAAGAGATCACAGAGCTGATGGCATAGCAGAAACAGGGAAACCAGAGTCATAGCTCACAGGCAGTATAAATTCCAGTGTTTACTATTGTCTGTGGATAGTTACATACTCTTAAATAAAGCAAAGCATAACATAAAACTGATTAAAGTAAACAATAATTTTGAAGCAAACTCACCGTGTTAATATATAGTTGTCACTTGAACAACATGGGGGCTAGGGGCACCGACCCCTGTGCTGTGAACTTAAGTTGAATCCAGATGGGAAACCCGAGGGTAGAGGGGGCGAACTGGGCATTGGAAAAGCCTGTGTATAAGCAGACCCGTGCAGTTTCAAACCGGGGTTTTTCAAGGGCCAAGTATTCATATTAAGAGAAGTCTTCTTTTCCTAAGTGTTTTAAAGGATAGGAGGAGGAATAGGAGGCAGGATAAAGAACAAGGTGGAGGAGTCGGGTGTGTTGGGGGACGATGGTAATCCGTCAGAAAACAGGGCCGAAATACGGTGAAGAGAGGGGCCAAAGGTCCAGCGTGCTTCTTGGTCCTGGCATTATTTGGTCTATACCCAGCTTTCAAACGCTCCTCCGCAGTGAAGCATCTGACTCTATTGTGACATGTAGATGGCGCATCTAAACACACTTCCTTTCTCACCAAGAGGTCTGACGTGGACCTGTCACTCAGTGTTAGTAAGACACAGGAAAGTCTACTGGGGGGCGGGGGTGTCGGGAATGTTTTTTCTTCCTTGATAAAAAGATAAAGCCTCCTAAGGAGAAAGCTTTTTGCTCCTCTTTTCATTTTACAAGGACGGGGGAGGCATTTGCTGACACACCAGGATGGCAGAGCTGGGTGCCAGCACCGACTGAGTGACCTGCCTCCTTCTAATCTTGTTTTGAAAGATTAACACACTCCTCTAATTTAAGTCATGGCTAGTGGGACAACCTGTTATTTGCTTAAAGATGGAAGATCAGAAAAGGCGTTCAGAAGGCTGGTTTGGAAGTTGAAACCTGAAGGATAGGTAGGAGTTTATATTGAATGATGAAACAGAAAGTGAGAGAAGAAGAAATTTTTTCACCAGAGGGACCAGCTTGCAGGAAGGTACTGAGAAGAGAGCGCATGGTGCATTTGTCAACATGAAAGAAGTCGAGGGTAGAAATATTGGCAGGAGTCAAGTTGTGAAGGTCTGGTTAAGGCATGTGAACTCTAGTCTTAAGGCATTTGGAAGTCCTTGATGGATTATAGGAGGGAAGTGACATAATCAGGTTTTCATTTTAAAATATTACCTTGGTGACTAGAGTGGAAGGAAGCAAGAGTGAATATAGGGGGTCCTATTAGAGGTTATGATCATAGCCCTGCATTAGGAGGTGATGATTTGGACTGGTGGATGTGTGGTAGTGAGGGAGGATGGAGAAAAGTAGACAAACTTGAGAGATATTAAAATAATAAGGTATTAGCCTGCCAGCATGGCTCAAGGGTTGAACATCAACCAGAAGGTCATGGTTCGATTCCCAGTCAGGGCACATGCTCAGGTTGCAGGCTTGATCCCCAGAGTGGGGCTTGCAGGAGGCAGCCAATCAATGATTCTCTTTCATCACTGATGTTTCTAGCTCTCTCTCTCCCCCTCTCTCTTTCTCTCTAAAATCAATAAAAATATGTTAAAAAATAATAGAATAGTAAACCTTGTATCTGACTACAGGGTATGACAGAGAGAAGTCAAAGAGGGGTGTCCAGATTTTTTGGTTTGGACAATGGGGCAGGTGGTGGTAAGTTGACAGTGAATATGGAAAGAGGGGCAAGTTTTGGGGCAGTAAAATGAGCTCAGTTTGGGACACACAGTTTCTGAGATGGAAAAGGTAGAGATGTTTCTGAGATGGAATAAGGCAGTTGAACATGTGAATCTGATAGGATGATTTGGACTGGACATGTAGATTTTGGAGTCATCACATGCAAAGTCATCAAAGTCATAAAGGTAGATAGGTGTGGCTAGGGACAGACAGGGTGAGGCATGGAGCAACACAGTGGCTAAGATAAGAGGGAGCTCCAGGGCCAGACTCTTAGGTTGGCATCTGGGTTTGTGGTAGCATGTGATTTTGGGCACATCACTTAACCTTGCCAAGCCTTGGTATTATCCATAAAAGGAGAAAAATGAAAGTACCTATCTCATAGAATCATTGTAAAGATTAAAGAAATTAATAAAGCAGTCCAAACAGATGCCAATCACAGCAATAGTAATATTCAGAGGCAACTTATTGATTAGATACAGAAGGCACAGTGCCTAGGGCACATAAAATATTTTAATTTCTTTTAAAGTAATAGAAAAAAGATTTAAGTTGAAGAAAATATTTTAATATATGATATTAACATATATATTTTTATATTAACACTAGGGGCCCGGTGCACGAAATTCATGCACTGGGTGTGTGTGTGGGGGGAGTGTCCCTCAGCCCAGCCTGCCCCCTCTCACATACTGGGAGCCCTCAGGCGTTGACCCCCATCACCCTCCAATCGCAGG